TTTTTTTTTTTTTTTGAAAGCCTGGTAATGGCTAGGATACTAAAAAATACTGAATTATTTGTGAGGCAGGTTGTCTTTTTTGCGGAGAGAGACATATATCCTGGAGAAGAGATAACTTATGACTATCATTTTAACCATGAGGATGAAGGTAAGAAAATTCCCTGCTTTTGTAATTCAAAGAATTGCAGGCGTTATTTAAATTAAGAAAACTTGGTGTACATTATTCCTTGTTCATATTTTGCAACAATATATCCAATATGAGCATCAGCTTTTGGCTTCTCTTCACCGTGGGTTAATTCCAATTTTTCCAGTCACATTTGCACAGAGACATCCATAAACGCTGTCACTGATATTTATACTAACTGGCATCGGGTACCTTTGCTGCTATAGAGATTGTGTTAAGGGAAAATAAGTGCTTGAATGTGTTTTACAGGACCATGCCTGCCAAGAGTCAATTACCTGGCCATAGTTAACATACTTTTTCCATACGAAGATTTTAGTTCCTTTGTCTTGGTTGAGCATTTCATTTGTTTGAATGAATGCTCCCAATAGGTTGAGGAAACTTATACTGTCGATGAACCTTAATGCTAGCACGTTTACCTGTGCCATCGAGCAAATTTTGTTGCGCAGATATGTATCTGCTCGTAATTCACAATCTCTCAGATGATGTGGGGAGTCCACCAAGTTGCAGTCCGATATTGACTATAGGATCATGTGGCAATGTCTGGGGAATACAATTACTAATGCGGTTATAATGACAACTTGGGTTGGTTCAAGTTCTACCTGCTATGGGTCCCTCAATGGTGTCGACTACTGGCAACTCTAGATTCTGTTGAACAATTGCCACCGATCTCAAGTGCCCAATGTTGAGTTTAGGGTTCTTTCTGAATGGAGAGACGAGACCATTGGTGTCAGCATGTAGCAATGATCACGTACAAGGTTTCAGGATGAAGTTGGGGAAATCCCAACAAATATTACCAAATAAAAGCAAGCAAATCAGAAGGCCACAAACACAGGCACTTGAATCAGCAGAGCAAGAAACATGCGAATGAGTCGAAGATTCCAGGAGCCTTCTCTTCTTTTTTTTTTTATTTATTTATTTAAAAAAAGATATCATTTGCCTTTTGCACATTCGGAATAAAGAAGGTTCCAGTCCCAGGGGTTGGCAGGTGCTCACAGGCAGGAATCTGACGTGAACCCACGTTACCCACCCCATACATACATGCAACTTTAATGGTAAAATCATGGAATATTCACCTTATTTACGATACTATTTTTGATGGTGAAGTTCCATATAAAGAAATCATGAGATTGGGGATCCTTCGAGAATTAGAAGAAGACTTCCCTCTCCAAAACACTTAACAAGCATTAGCTCTATGTAAAAAAAGGTCATCCCTCAACATAGGGACCCAAAATATAAGCTATAGCTGTATGCAGGACTGAAAAGAAATCAAAGATAAGTAGGCAACCCAATTGCAGCAAGTTTTGGACTTTCAATCCCCACCATATGTGTGTGTATGCAATTTAAAAACACAAAACTGATGATTACTTTCTCACTATTTTTCTCATGTGCCCCATCTGTATGATTGATGCTATAACCTAGCAGAAAAAAAGAGAAGAGTAATGTTCCTTACACATAAATAGTTATAACTTAATTGATCGTGTCCGTACTTAATATTGGAATATACTATTTATAAGAAAAATTATAGAAAATTAACTTGATTTTCATTCGATACACAAGCTTTACAAAACCGTGCAACATATTTACAAGTCCTATGGATAAAAACTTTCAAATAAGTTTGAAAGGAAGGCTCCGGATTTTGGCCTCCCAAAAAAACGGAGAACCGAGAATTAAGAACGGTTTTCCTACCAAAGTGGGTAGTGGCCAAAAATAAATGATTTGATGATGAGTATTTGACAGTTGGGCAGTCCCAAACTCCCCATTACACTAATTGCCTACAAGCAAGGGAAAAGTGAACTTGGTGGAGTTCTTAAAATATTGCCAGTTGCCCCCCTGCACATGCAAAAGCTCCTTATAAATACACTTGAAGAGATCTGGAGGGAGAGAGTTCAGACAATTTACAAAGTAAGAAAAAAAAAAGAGAGAAGGAAGAAGAAAGAAGTTTGAAGAGCAAAGCGGTTGCGGAAGACAAAAAAAATCTAAGCTATTCCACAAGTATAATCTCTGATTTCTTTCCCTACTCTTGGATTTAATCTGTTAAATCTTTGATTGCAGCGAATGGGTTCAAAACCACAGCAATTCGAAGCAATTGCGGCAACATCCAACCCTTCAAAAAATTACCAATTATAGGGATTTTCGACCCCTAGAGTTTGGACGATGGAAAGGATGTTCTATACTCTTCTCGGCAAAAACTTCACGCTCTCTTTGGATCAAGAAAAATTTCTTGGAAGCTTTCCGATTTCTTTCAGCCAAGTCCACATGTGTGAACAGACCCACACATACAAAAGAAATGAAGCCAGGTTATGCAAATTCAGTCTTGGTCCAGTCCATTTGTAGCAATGTTTCAACTCTTCTTGCCGAAGATTTCCTGTTGAATCAAGGAATATATAACAGGGGCAGAAAAAAAAAAAGAAATAACTCCTCTTCTTCGCAGTCCATTGTCTTGTGTAATAGAACAGTGGAGTTTCTTTTAACTCTTCCCATAATCAGTCTCAACAAGCATAAATTTCATGAGCCAACCTGTCCATTCCGAAGTCAGCTGCATAAATTTAAAGAGCCCCTGGCTCTTTAAAGATTGTGCTGAGTCGAAGGAATTTCCAACACCATCTGGCTCGGAGGTAAAGAAAATAGAGCATTTGACTCTATGCCGAAACACAACGATTTCAAACCCACTTTCCACAATCCCAACCTCTCCCAAATTACAAGCCAAGGAGTTTCCAAGTTAAGAGTCTTTGACTCTAATGGAGTTTTGAACTCTTCCCCATTCCATTTGTTTTGTCACTAATCACTTCTATTGCAACAAGCATTGACAGATAATAAAGAAAACCAAGCACGATGGCCGAATCAAACAAGGAGTCTTGGACTCTTATAATTTTCGTAACTTTATGCCGAGGACCAGTATGCTTTTTAAAAAAAATGGAGTTTCAAACTCCCTTTTTTTTAGTCACTCTCAAGAGTTTAAAATCTTTTGTTGGTCTTGGTTTTTCTAAAACCTAAATGATAGAGTTTCTGAAGTTTCAAATTCCTTAAAAAAAATATGGAGTCTTTGAATCTTCAACAAAATTTCATGGAGTCTTCGACTCCCCTTTACAAAAGGTCGTGTTGTGATTTAAGGAGTTTTCGACTCTTAAAGATCATTACGGTGCAAAAAATTCTAAAATTCTAAGATCTTGATGGCACTGAAAGAGTCTTGGGATCTTCGCAAACCAATTAAACTGCTAAATGAACAGTATTTTGAACTCTCTCCAAAGTCGCTACTGTTTTTTTACCAAAATAAGAGTCTTTGACTCTAATTCAAACTTTCTTATACATAAAAAAAAAATGGCATCTAAAAAGTCTTGACCGGACCCAATTCAACTTGGCTAGAGTTTCAAACTTTTTCAAAGAATCTGGTATTGGGTCTAGCTAAAGAAAATGTACCAAAATCAAAGCATAAAATTCTGGAACTTTTAATTCTTTAGTGCTAGCAAAGAGAAGAAATTCTCAAAGAAGCCACTCGTAGCCACAAATGACTTATCTATATAATAAAGTATAATAATTTAAATCTCAAAAGATAAAAAAAATAATTTTTTCTATTTATGGTGAAAATCGTTTTAAATTTTATTTTAAAGTTAATCTAATGACTAATATTAACACTCCAAATTTAATATGAAAAATAAGGTTCTAAGGATGTGTTTGAAGTGATTTTTTAAAAGTACTTTTAGAAATTATTTATCATAATTAAATTAAAAAAAAATAGTGTTTGAAATCACCCTACCACTACCTCTACCACCACCACCCCCTTCGCTCGCTCTACCACCATTACCATTAACACCACCACTGTCGCCACAATCACTATCGCCGCCCTACCATACCCACCATCCAACCACCACCCCCTTACCACCACCATCACCACTTCCATTGTCCCACCACTACTCTACCATCATCATTACCACTACCACCACCGACTCACCACCACCACCGCCCCACCACCACCATCCCCACCACTACTAATACCGCACCCTACCATTATCACAACTGTTGTTGCACCTTACCATTATAGCTACTATCCCACCATCACCCCCACCGTCCCACCACCACCGCCATGACCATCACCAACTCACCACTGCCACCCCCACCATCGCCACTACCCCACCTCCACCCTCACCCTCACTGCCCACCGCCACCCACCACCGATTACTACCATTGTCGTCCATGGCCAACACCTACCACCATTGTCATCTTATTCTTATATTTATTATCATTACCACCATCATCCCACTATCATTGTCGACCCACCATTAGCATTCACCATCACCCATCTTCGCCTACCATCGTCATCAGCCACTGTCAACAATCCCACCACACCAACCACCACTACATGTCATCGCCCACCCTTGCAACCGCCCATTGTCACCTACTCTTGCCACACTTACCACCACCGCCATTCGCCATCACCCATCACACTATCGCTTAAAAGTACTCATCGTCGCTCACCACCACCGTCGTCGTTCCACCAGCACCATTGCCAGCCATCATCACCGTCATTCACCACCATCATTGTCACCCATGGCTGCCACTACCATCATTGTCACTCAAAACTTGCCACCACCATTACCAGTGATATCCACGGCTATTACCACCACCATGATCGTCACCTTACCCCACAACCATCACCGTCTCCCACCCATCACCACAGTCGCCCACCACCACTACCAACGCTCACCTCCACTACAATCAGTGCTTAAATTTTTTTATCTCTCATTTATATTTGTGATTTGATTTTGGATTTGAATACAAATATGTTGATTATTTATTTTATTACTTCGTGCCTTTAAACACAGAGAATAACTAGTCTTCTTATAAGACAGATTCTAAACTTTAAATGCATTTTAGAGTTGATAAAATTCACTCACTTGGCAATCCACATGCAACCAAGTCTGTAAAATCACCCATGAAACACGTGAAAGACTCTTCGATTCTTTTTGGCAAAGAATAGAGTTTTAAGTCTAATAAATCCTTTGATTTCTCTCTACAAAACCTACTGGTACAGCCCATAAAAAGATTGTTGGTGGACAAAAAAATTTAACTTAAAGAGTTTGTAACTCAATTAAATTGATATGGAGTCTGTGATTTTTTTAAGTGACAATTTG